GTTTATTTGGTGCGATTTACCAGATGAAATTTATACACGTGACGCAGAATATAATTGAGCAAAATATACATATATTATCAAGTGTAATTTTTGGATGCAACATGTGAGGTCGATGGAGCACATCTCCAAGGCGATGTACACATATACTGACACTAATGATTACATGAGTGCAGAAATAAATATGTAACATCAAATGCTTTCATATAGTAGCATATTATACATTTATAGACATTATCGTCATTATAGAAACCTTGGAGGGTGTGACCCAAAAGAGATCATATATTTCTGACTCATGTTAATTCATTTATGTGTCATAATCATGTGTACATCGCCTTGGAAGATGTGGCTCCATGCGACCTCAACATGTGCTCTATAAATTACCACTTGATAATATATGTATATTTTCTCAACTTATATTCGCGTCATTGTATAAATTTCATCTGTAATCGCACCAAAATAACTCCTCAGAGAAAGCATGATGTTACATATTTATTTCTGACTACTCATTTAATCATTATGTGTCAGTAGGGCCTATATGTGTACATCGCCTTGGAGATGTGCTCCATCGACCTCAACATGTGCTCCATAAATTACACTTGATAATATATGTATATGTACAACATGACGCGAATATAATTGAGAAATATACATATATTATCAAGTGTAATTTATGGAGCACATGTTGAGGTCGAATGGAGCACATCTCCAAGGCAATGTTACACATATACTACACATAATGATTAACATGAGTCTCAGAAATAAATATGTAACATTCAATGCTGTTCTCTGAGGAGTTATTTTTGGTGCGATTACAGATTGAAATTTATACACATGACGCGATATAATTGAGAAAAATATACATATATTATCAAGTGTAATTTATGGAGCACGTGTTGAGGTCGATGGAGCACATTCTCAAGGCGATGTACACATATACTACACATAATGATTAACATGAGTCAGAAATAAATATGTAACATCAATGCTTCATATAGTAGCATATATATATATATATATATGTATATGGTAGGCTATAATGTTAGGCGTATGCTAGGCGTATAATGTTACGCTATGCGATGTGCAATAGCCTTTGCATTGCACGTATTAGTGGTAGCCATAATGTAAGCGGCGCCTCGCCTGGCCTGATTGTGACGCTTGCGTGACGGTCATTATAGAAACCTGGAGGTGTGACCCAAAGAGATATTTATTTCTGACTTATGTTAAATTCATTATGTGTCAGTATATGTGTACACTCGGCCTTGGAGATGTGCTCCATCGACCTCACATGTGCTCCATAAATTACACTTGATAATATATGTATATTTCTCCAATTATATTCGCGTCATTGGTACATATACATATATTTCAGTGGACAATTTATGGAGCACATGTTGAAGTCGATGGAGCACATCTCCAAGCGATGTACACAATATACTGACACATAATGATTAACATGAGTCAAAATAAATATGTAACATCAATGCTTTTCGCTGAGGAGTTATTTTTTGGTGCGATTACGATGAAATTTATACACATGACGCGAATATAATTGAGAAAATATACATATATTATCAAGTGTAATTTATGGAGCACATGTTGAGGTCGATGGAGCACATCTCCAAGGCGATGTACACATATACTGACACATAATGATTAACATGAGTCAGAAATAAATATGTAACATCAATGCTTCATATAGTAGCATATATATATATATATATATATATATATTATATATATTATAATATATATATATATTTTATATGGTAGCTATATGTAGGCGTATGCTTATGCGTATAATGTTTTTAACGCTATGCGATGTGCAATAGCCTTTGCATTGCACGTAGTTCGATTTTGTGGAACCGGTTCGACAGAATTGAGTTTTGTGTTTACAAAATTGAGTTTTGTGGAACCGGTTCGACAGAATTGAGTTTTGTGTTTACAAAATTGAGTTTTGTGGAACCGGTTCGACAGAATTGAGTTTTGTGTTTACAAAATTAAGTTCTGTGGAACCGGTTCGACAGAATTGAGCCCTGTCCTGCATGGCGCCCCGTAAGTTCACAGTTCGTTTTTGTTTAAGAGGGTGAGATAAAGGTCATGTTTGCTATTAATTATTTTCTCATAGCGGGTTAAAGTACAAGCACTATGTCAAACCAGCTGATTAAATTATAAGTTTGCTTTATTAGCTCATAGTAAAGAATTACGTGCGGATTGTGACTGGGTACACTTGGCTTAGTTCCAGGCAATAACCACGTGTCTGGTTCACATATAAAAGTCAGCTTGACATGCCGCGTACAATCATTCTGTTAGATTTTGTCTCACCTCGGAGTTTCTACACAAGCACTCTGTGTGATAAAGTATTCGTTCCTTCTTTTAGAAGCTGCCCTACTGGCACCATCGGCTGACATTTAAATATTCCGAAAACGGTAACACTATGTTGCTGTCTCTTTGTTTCTAACCTTTGAAAACCTCGTTGCAGGTAAGCAAAATTTCTCGAATATAAATATTTTTCCTGGTAGTTGCTGAATATTCCAAAAACTGTCAAGAAGAATTGTTAATTTTCAGTGTTTACCTATCATGCATTGTAGTTTTACCAAACATAGACAGTATTACACTAATGATGCTAAATATACTTCTCTCACTTTATTTGTTTTCCATGTGGCAGATGTGGTGTTGTAATACTTTCTCTGATAATCTCAGCACATAAGCTTGTAACAGCATGACGATATTGAGTCTATAGGCAGAAATGTTAAGTTGTTAACGTTCAAATTGTGGTCAACCACGTGGTGCGTTGCTCTTGCAATTCTGCAGACATTTATTTGTTTATGTAGTCTATGACCATGAACCTTGTATCGGATTATGACCACAAGCATTCTTCAGTGCTGGAGCAGTTGTACAGTAGTTACCTAACTTTCAGACTACTGTCTTGCAATCATGCTGTCCTTGTAATCACCCTTGGTGATTTCCCAGGTGTGAATTTCATGGATTGATATATGCTTTAAGTATGACGATAGTAAAACCCACAAAGAGTGCAAAGTCATACAGGAAATTTCAGCCACTTGCGACCCATTCGCTGATATCAAATTTGTTTGGAAGCGAGCGTCAGGGATTCGGACACCATGTTTCTGCGCAAACTATACTTGTATCGTTCGCCGACCATGCAACTACTAGTATAGTGTTGGTTTAGCAAACAAGTGTGGGGGGAATTGTGGTTCGGTGGCGCGCGAATCCTGTTGATAGAAAAATGTACACGTGTTTCTGTAAAGTAAGATAAGGTTTTTATAAATAACATGTTGGCGGCGTTACAATGTGTATGGTTGGCGGAAAATACGGTGTGTGTATGTAAACTGACATATGGTTGGACTAAATTGGCAAACCGTACACCATACGTAGGCGCCGTTATCACAGGCACTTGAAGCGTTTCAACTGTAAACACACGCCGCCGCCATTGCGCGCACACTGACACATAAATATATATATATATCAAGAGCTAATAATACCTAGAGTGTACAACGGAAAAACGGGAAAATAGTGCTATTTCACGACAACATTATTTTACTTTGCCTGCGAGTCTATAATAATTTCATGGTATTGCATTAAGCAGAATTCTTTGCTCTCTAAAACAAGACCAACCGCTTGTCATACGATACTCCTAGGCGGAGATATCGGCTCTAACCTCCCCTCCCAACATGCCAAAACCGCCGCCTCGAATCTACTTCTGTCCCCATCCTTCACGCGCTAAGCGTTGCTTCGTGAGAGTTCGGTTTTCCGCCATAATTTTATGAATGATTTTCGGGTGCAGGTGCAGGGTGGAGGTGACTTTCGGGGCATCGCCTATGCCTTATCTCCCATTATCTTTCCTAGCACGGTTAATGCGCCGTCATGATGGAGCCGGCAATGTTTTTTTTAATTAAGTCTCTACAAAGCAGCTAGTAAGAGTACCAAATTTGGGCATATGGACACTCAATTATCAGCGCTCTCACAGCGTGACGGAAACCGATAGCCGAAATGCTTAGACGCGTGAAGGATGGGGACAGAAGTGGATTCGAGGCGGCGTTTTGCATGTGGAGGGGAGGTTTAGGAGCCGATAATCTCCGCCTAGGAGTATCGTATTGACATAGCGGTTGGTCTTGCTTTTAGAGAGCAAAGAATTCTGCTTAATGCAATACATGAAATTATTATACACTCGCAGGCAAAGTAGAATAATGTTGTCGTGAAATAGCACTATTTTCCCGTTTTTCCGTTGTACACTCTAGGTATTATTAGCTCTTGATATATATGTTATATATATATTTATGTGTCAGAGTGCGCGCAATGGCGGCGGCTTATGTTTACAGTTGAAACGCTTCAAGTGCCTGTGGCCGTTATATTATAATCATAAATAAGCGATTCTTCCCCGCGCTAGGTTCAGGTATAAACCTACCAGCCCTCATCGCCCTGCGTTTGTCTGTTTCTCCCAGATCTACTGCTGTTGGTGATAAGGAGCGCAGTGTACCTATACACAGCTACCGGAGTATTGCTTAAACTTAGGCAGGGCTTCTATACAAAGCTAACTAAACACCGGTGAGTTATTGTGATTATTTATATTCTCAAACAACATTCTTTCTGTAAGGACACGCTTTTTCGTCATCACTCCCAACTTTCTCGTTTTCCTTTTTCAACTTCTGGATGTCTGTCGCTCCACGTCTTTCTAACAGTAAGTACAGTACGTAACAGTAACTCGTGGCTATACCTCTTCGCTCGTCTCTTTGGCTTTAGCTTTTCCTCTCATCGGCGTCTCCATCCCTCATCTCATACGTACGTCCTACCTTATATACTCTCTTTATATACTCTTTCTTTCATACGTCCCATCTCCTACCTTTTCGTGCCATCCTTTTCGACACCCTGTCACTCTGTCAACCCAAAGCGTCATCACTATCTACGTGGTAATTTACTGCTGGATCACTTGATCAGCCCAACAATATTTCAGTTGTCCCAGATTTAAAGACATGCTTAGGATCATGACACAACAGAATCTCATAGCCAACCTTGACCGAGTAGCTAGCATAATCCCAACCTAATCCTTAAACCCTGCATTAAATTCCCGGGTGCTAGTGTAACTGGGGTTGAACGCATATCATCTCACTGTTGAAGTAATGGGAATTGGAGACGAGGCATTATATCTTCGAGGCATTAACAAACTGACATTCTATCGTCAGATGTTTACACGTCCTATCTCTCACACACTCAACCACTATGTGGAGCCGCTGACTGTTTGCTGTATGTTGTATAGATGCTGCTGTCTCATGACATCAGTAAAGACGAGTTGAGGAGAGGCGACCACATCTACGTGTGGCGGTCCGTCTACCGTCACCATGGCATCTGGGACGGCAGAAAAGTCATCCACTTCAGTGGCGCAAAATCTGGCGACAAATCCAACGCGACAATAGGCAGAGATACCCTCGACGTATTCCTAGATGGTGGTAATCTTAAGATCTACCGTTACGGTATGAGCACGTGGAATACAAAGTCATGGTACGAGTTTGCTGGCGCGTCTACAACGGCTGAGAGCGACCCGCCGGATACGGTGATGAATCGAACAGAGAGCCGAATCGGAGATGCCGATTACAACCAGCTTTATACCAACTGCCTACATTTCGCGCTCTGGTGCAAGTTGGGAGGACGCGGCGGCAATGTGCGTATGCAAACAACCCCAGCTAAAGAGTTTTTTGTAACGTTAATGTGTAGGATTGTTGTAAAAACGTTTTTATCATCAACGTCAGCAAGCTATCGCGCATGCGCGCCGGTAAGCGGACTACCGCGTATTCTTCTCTTATCGCTAGTAACTTGACCACTGAATTATAACACTATATGTTATTGTTCAGTGAACGTGACACACATTTATCAGTATTAGTAACTACAGTGACATAGTTAGATAAATCCTTCCCCCGCCTATATGGCGCATAGGGCAGTGCCTAGCTCTAGGCTAACGCTCTATTATAAGCTTTCCCAACTTTAAAGTCATTAATATCGTAATATAAAAGAGATATCAATGGGGCGGATTGATATAAAAGAGATATCGAGGGGGTGGTTCGATATTAAATAGATATAAAGGGGGGGTTAGATATAAAATAGATATCAATGGGATATGGAAGTCGGCGCTTCATTTGAGTCTGATCAAAGCGAGCTTGAAAGGAAGGCGTTGCTTTTCCAAGTAAAATGTTTGCTTCGTTTCGCTTGCCTTTGCTGCTCGAGCAAGCGAAATGCAGAGTGGGGGCATGTTCGCTTCGTTTCGCTCCCCTTTGCTGCTCGAGCAAGCAAAATACAGAGCAGGGGCATGTTCGCTCGCCTTCGTTGCGCGACCAAGTGAAATAGAGAGCAGGGCATCTTCGCTTCGTTTCGCTCGCCTTTGCTCCTCGAGCAAGCAAAATGCATAGCCGGGCATCTGCGCTTCGTTTCGCTCGCCTTTGTTACGCGAGCAAGCAAAATACAAAGCGGGGCATCTTTGCTTCGTTTCGCTCGCCTTTGCTGCTCGACCAAGCAAAATGCAGAGTGCGGGCATGTTCGCTTCACTCGCCTTTGCTGCTCGAGCCGGAAAAATACAGCGCGAGGCATCTTCACTTCGTTTCGCTCCTCTTCGCTGCTCGAGCAAGCAAAATACAGAGCGGGGCCATGTTCGCTTCGTTTCGCTCGACTTCATTGCGCGAGCAAGTGAAATACAGAGCGGGGGCATGTTCGTTTCGCTTCGCTCGACTTCGTTGCGCGAGCAAGCGAAATACAGAGCAGGGGCATGTTCGCTTCGTTTCGCTTGCCTTCGCTATGCAAGCAAACGAAATACAGAGCGGAGGCATCTTCGCTTTGTTTCGCTTGCCTTCACTACGCGAGCAAGCAAAATACAGAGCGGGGCATCTTCGCTTCGTTTCGCTTACCTTCACTGCTTGAGCAAGCAAAATATAGAGCGGGGGCATGTTTGCTTTGTTTCGCTTGCCTTTGCTACGCAAGCAAACGAAATACAGAGTGGGGGCATGTTCGCTTTGTTTCGCTCATTCTTCGCTGCTTGAGCAAGCAAAATACAGAGCGGGGGCATGTTCGCTTCGCTCGCCTTCGTTACGCGAGCAAGCGAAATGCATAGCCGGGCATCTTTGCTTTGTTTTGCTCGCCTTCGCTACGGCGAAAACGCAACTGAGAACCAGCCCAGCCTTAGCTACACCACTCCCAAGCGCCCAAACAAGGTGAGGTAGTATTATCAGAAAACACCCCGGAAGAGGAGAACACACCGGATGACAACACTATCCCCCTGTCGGCATGTCTCACACAACCACGCCGAGATAGTAACTCCGAGAACTACAGACTGCATGGAATCGTTACCAACCATGGCAAGCGAATAGACTGCCGACAACCAAACACAAATTAGCTACCAATCAATGGCTTGCTCTCCACGAACCAACAGTCACTCCTCGGTCTGACAACACAACTACGGGGACGCCTAACCGTAGTGACACGGAGCTTTCACTAATCTTCTGCCCGGTGTGCGCAGCACCGGGTTAGAGAACTCAAAACCACCCAAACGGTCCCTCGATTGCCCAGCTACCTGTGGCCCAGAACCTACCAGAACCTCCTCAGAATTAGCCTGAGGGCCAACCACTTGCTGCAACTTAACCGCTTGTGTCTTGAGGCTAGAACGAGAAAATCCTGAGCCAATAAACTCGTTCGACTCTGTGTCATCCTTCACCTGGGAATCCGTGCCCAGCAGATCAACCGCGAATTGACCCGCCACGTTCCCCGGACTACCAGACTCCACCAACACCTGCGTCAACACAAAATGCCCCATCTCCCAATCAGGAGAGAGGCGCACTCACACCACCGTAGACTTATAGGTTATCCACGGCTACACCTCTCACTACACTATCAGGGGAAGCCTGAATCCCTCAGTCTTGCCCATCATCTGACACCAACAGCAGACGTAGGCAACCCACCCTCACGATGGGAAAACAATGCATCACCTTCACGGTGAGAAAATACTGGGTCGCCTTCATGGTGACCCACTCCCAGCAGATTATCCGCTCGCCTCACACGAGTAGAATATGGACTCTCCTCGGCCTAACCAGGCACAAACCTGACACGTGGCGCAGGGCTGACTCTAGCCCGAGCCACCGACGGCGATTACGCATAACTCACTGCCGCTGTCCTGTCGAGCGGTGCATACCATGCGACCGTCTCTCGTTGACGTGGGCGAGTCCTCATCAACTCTTTGTGTGGAGTCAAACTACCACCAGTCCACCGCCTCGTGTCCGTACACCGACCCTATAAAAATCAAGGTCTGGTGCAATTACCACGCCTAGATGCCGCCTCCCGCGAGCACCCTTAAACGGCATCGTACTCCGCCCTCTCGGCAAACGTCGACTAACAAAATCACACTACTACTAACGCGCAACCGGCAGGTCTACGGCACCAGTTGTAGCGTTTCGTGTTTATCCGCGACACCCGAGGGCGCCACCAATCGACACGTAGTGACTATCAATAACCTTAGGTAAGAACATTCACCCCGTAGGTCCGGATACATTGAAATGGCCGTATCGTCGCCAGCCAAACTCCGCTAGCCACCAGAGCACCTCAGTGCTACTGCGCTCTCTTAGGACACGTTCACTCCAGCGTTCGTTCCGGCTCCGGTGCGATAGCGTGGTTAGTCAACAATGCCACACCACAAATATGACAACAGGGCACCTCACCCTGCTCTGCTGGCCTTACGTTACGTCTTATAATAAATGTCAACTCGGTGTATGAACAAAGACTATACAGATATAGGCGTAGCCAGACAAAGGGCTAAATAACCGGCAGGCTCTCTACTGCACTGCTGCTCACAGCATAGGCCAGTTTCTATCCTGCACGTGAAGCGTTGGCACTCCCCTTTCTGTACTATTTTGGGAGTCCATTTAATACTCTACTCACTGTATTATTTACTTGCCCCACAAAAACAGGACAATACAACGGTGCCTACTCACCAACCAAAGCTCTTAATTGCGGCCGACTCTTTGCGGGGTCTCACCCACAAACCACGTTGACAATGGTGAACCGTATGGTACTGTACCAGTAACGTACCCTAGCTGTCGTCACCATACTCTCCAGCCTCCGCACACCACTCAGCCGGTCTCTTCACTCTATGCTCATACAGAGTGATACATGCTGCGGGGTCTACCTCACTCGACTCCCGCCACGAACCCGAGTGTTATCTCTCTAGACGCCCGAGACGAACTCGAGTGCTACCTCTTTTAACGCCCGAGACGAACTCCACTGTTAACTCGGCCAACTCCTGGGACAAAGCTCAACCGTGTCACTCCCGCCTCACACACCGAGTCAGCTGTTCGTTTCTCCCGCGCCACTTTCCGCCGCTAGAGGGGGTGGCTAACCAACCCAACATGGCTGCCCCATGTAGGGACTCGACTATCCACAACAACAATTGGTGAGCAGGCAAAACACCACGAAAACGCACACTAATAGACATTAGACACCAGACATCACAAATAATTATACATTCACAAATACGGAACATTAACCCATACCCTGCCCGTGGTTTCCAATGAGCTACCTCACAATTACCTAGCTGGAAACCGTGGTGACCGGTGCAACCGCCACACAAGCAAGCAAAATATAAAGCAGGCCATCTTTGCTTCGTTTTGCTCGCCTTTGCTGCTCAAACAAGCAAAATGCATAGCCGAGCATCTTCGCTTTGTTTCACTTGCCTTTGCTACGCGAGCAAGCAAAATACAGAGCGGGGCATCTTCGCTTCGTTTTGCTCACCTTCGCTGCTCGAGCAAGCAAAATGCAGAGCGGCGGCATGTTCGCTTCACTTCGCTCGCCTTTATTGCGCAAGCAAGCGAAATAGAGAGCGGGGCATCTTCGCTTCATTTCACTCGCCTTTGCTGCTCGAGCAAACGAAATACAGAGTGGGGCATGTTTGCTTCGTTTCGCTCGCCTTCGCTGCTCGAGCAAGCGAAATACAGAGCGCTGGCATGTTCGCTTCGTTTTGCTTGCCTTCACTACGCGAGCAAACGACATACAGAGCGGGCCATCTTCACTTTGTTTCGCTCACCTTCGCTGGACTAAGCTGGTCGAGCAAGCAAAATTGAGACTGGGGCATGTTCGCTTCATTGCGCTGGACTTCGCTGGAATTCGCTGGTCAAGCAAGCAAAATTGAGACCGGGGTATGTTCGATTCGTTGCGCTGGAGTTCGCTGGACTTCGCTGGTCGAGCAAGCAAAATTCCCCCCACCCCCGTAACGAAAGAGTCAATGTGTGTGCGTGGGCGTGCGGTTAATTGTTATACCGTATACTGACGGCGGCCGGTTTTAGTGTGGCCAATTTCCCGGATCTAAACAAATGACAGCCAAGAAACGCATGTAACACTTGTCCGTCTTACGTACCGTCACGATAACCGTCTTAAATAACAATGAAATAGGTAAGGTCGTTAGGAAGATATATGAGTTATATAGTCAGTTACTTTAGCGTGCATCAGCTGCGTATATAACGCATAATAGATACACAAAACATACACGCACGCACGCACGCACGAACGCACACATACACAGACACAGACAGGGGATAGGTCTAGTATTAGTAACTATAGAGGGTTCCGCGACTTGCACTAAAAATAGCAATACCACCTACAATCCCGTGCCGCCGGCCATACTGGTAGTCAGAATTGTGAACACGTGTTACCGATATTCGCAATCTAGCAATTTTACATCGATAGATTGTACATACGATAGTGTTATTATAGTAATCGATATTAGCAGTAAGTGGATCCCGGTTTTGCAGACAGGTTTACCAGCGCGTGTTAGGCGCTAAAGTTCGATATGATTGTGCAGACCCGGTTTTACAGGGTGTTGCAGGCAGGGTTATCAGCGTGAGTTGGGGT